CCCGCGAGATGTATCTTGGGTCTATCCCAGGGCCTCTACCCAGTATGACATGCTTGGATCACCTCATTCGGCTCCTTTTAAGTGTAGGAGTATCAGCTCTACTCTGAGTCACTCCTGAATTACTGAGCTCCTCATCCTATCTCTAAGCGAGACAGTCTCATTCTTCTTATTGCAAATTAGTTGAACATTAAAGCAATCTGTAAGCAGCTGTTATGTGCCATTTAGAGTGTGGACACACACTGGACTGGCAGGCATAATAACAGAAGAAACTGCTGCTGAGTGATTTTCCAAATTGAATTCAACAAAAAGACAATCCAAAAGAAAAAAATTACACCAGCAGGAAACGCAAGCTCTGGAAACAGCAGGGAGTGATAAACAGAAAGACAGCACACATACTGACCACCCCCAGTTCTCATTCCCAGAAATGCCTATCCTTGATTCCTCTCCTCGCGTCTTACTCCATCTCACAAAGATACGAGCAGATGAGACGAGGGAGAGACACGAGGAAAGAGAAAGACAGCGGGCATTTAACAAAATGAGACATCCTCGCCTGTGAGCCTCGTTTTAAAGCGATGCCAATTAAATTTGATGCAACTGCATCAAATATTCCTGCATTTCATGATTTCTGATGCAACAGTGCTCGCGACATGATTTATATTTAGGATCGCAACGCGGCTTAATGTGAAGTGATGCCATACGCTTTTTAAAGTTACAAACAGAAGCAATACAGACCAGAAAGTTGGATCATCTTGAAGTAAAATCACTTCAACAAATGAGTCACCTGTGCATCCTCATTAATTTACATCTAGCCTCATTTCTCCTCTGTCCTCCTTCAGTGACCACTGAGATGGATTTTCAGGACACAGGCAGGAGGACAAAGGACAAAGGAGACAAGGACACATAAGCAGTGAAATGAGAAAAGTCGCAGAACTCTGGAAGCAGCGAGTAGTGAAAACTGATGCAGACAGTGGGAAAGATAAGACTGACAGGGCTGACTGGACACAGGTGAAAACAAATTAGGGTGGGGCAACAAATCAGAAAAGTGGGAAACAAGACAAGCACGGGAAGCAAAAACAAGTGGGACATGCAACGTATTTAATATTTTCAGAGTATGAAATACTTTTAAAATGCAGCCAAGAGAAAACATGAACTAAAATTCGTAACAAAACCTGACAGCTTTACCTCTTGATGCTGTATTAATCCAAATCCTTCTCCTTTTTAATCCTTTCAGCTCAGTTTATTCCTTATTTCTTTTCAAAGAGAGCTACTAAAAACTCAATACAGCAGCAAAGCAGCCTTTAAAAGACTTCATTTTAGTAGCCAGCCAGAAACCATTTACAAATTATGCATTTTTTCAAATGTTTCCAATACTCCTAATAAGAGGAATGAAGCTGAGTTCATTTGAGTGATAAGGTCTGAGATGATATTGATTAAAATATCCAAACTACTCAACAGTTGTATCCAGTCTTCCATAACACAGCTAATGCACTCCATCTCTACACATTTAAGTTCATCTTTATTAATAACTGTGGTAGCAACTGTAACCCTTTATTAGCTCCTGACTATCAAAGAGCGTCTTGCCTGTGAATACTGCTTTCTCATCCAAATGTACTAATGTCGTGTTTTACTGGTCCTCTTATAGGGAGGAGGGTGTCCTCTCCTCCTGCCTGCCCTCCCTTGTGGTTCGTGTGCGATGATGGGGAGTGTATCGAGGAGAGCAAAGTGTGTGACTTCACCCCGCATTGTTCCTCTGGAGAGGATGAAGCCAGCTGCCGTAAGGATCTTATATCTGAGTTCACACATGAAAACAAACCAAATCGCACTGGTATGCTCGACTGAGCGACAGGCAGCATGAATTCCTGTTCATCCACTTTGAACCATATTATTACCTTAGTTAAATATGATTTCTATTTTTTTAATTATCTGATACCACATTCACATTTTAAGCTTCATATTTGTGGCGAACGAGTTTGTTTTTGTTTTTGCATGATACATTTCTTATTAAATGAAAAAAAAACACAAAAATTATAAATATTTTAGTTCAAATCACATTTACAGTACCAAATGTCTTTAGGCACTCATTTCTTTATATTTTGCTTCCAAGAAACCAGACTTTCTCTTGAGCAACAGCTCTTCAGGCTTTCTGAAGGTCTCAGAGTTTTTCTCACTCTTATTCGTTTGTAGTCAAGTTCTTATACTTGAACATTTTCTGGGGAGTTTTAAAAAAACTTGTTAAGCCACTTAACACAAACCTATAAATTATTCAGTTTTTCAATTTTTCATTAACAAAGGCACCTAACTCATAGGAGGAACTAGCATTGTGTCTGCACATAACAGACTACTTAGCAAAGAACCAATTTTAAACTGCTTCTTTGGTCACTTTGCTATTAGCAGTCTGTTGCAAAAACAGATCATTTGTTCCCGTAAAAAAAATTCCAAAGATAACACAGTTTGAAAAGGATATAAATAAATAAAAAAGGATTTTTGCAACTTAAGGTGTTTCCCTACAAACTATTAGCTGAAAAATCTGTGCAGCGTGTCCTAATAAATTTGAGAAAACTGGACAAGTGAAGGACAAAAGAAGAAGTCGATCCAGCAACAATCCAGAAATAGTTTTAGTGGAAGGTTGGCTGTGAAGAAGCAACTCTTAAGGTAGCAAAATAAGGAAAATCAATTTTTTTCAGTTCAAATCATCACAGTGAGTGTCAACAACAGGGTGGATTTATGAAAGAAGAAAACTACCCTCAGATTTGGATACAACATGCAGTAGCACACGGGAAGCATTTGATCGACAGCGGCTGAAATTTTCATCGTAACAATGATCCCTGATCCACTGGCAATGCAGTCAAAGCATACCTGGACAGAAAACACACAATAGCACACCATTAATCATGGATTGGCTTCTCCAGACCGCAACATTATTAAAGCAGTGTGAGATCATCTTGACAGAGAAGAGAATAAAAAAGCAGCTGTGTGTTTGCACATTTCACCACCAACAGCCAACAGCAGACCTACAGTAGAAACTGGATGCCAGAGTCAATACAAGAAAACAGACGGAGAAAACAGATTGGAAATGGTTCATAAGAAATACAAAGAGAACCTGGCAACTGAGTGGTGAAACAGCAGGGATATATGGGAAGACTTATTGGTGGCAGGTGGTTCACAAAACAGGTGGAGGGAAAAAAGGAGGAGAAGTAAAACTGAAATTCATCAGAACGTCTCGTTTTAAATTGTGGCCTCCAGTTTTCCTATTGTAAGTTTAATCTTTGGGAAATCATCCTGTTTAATGTAGAAGCTTTTTTTTCAAAAGTTAAATCCATTCAAATGATTAATCTACGTATTAAAAATCTTACTCTGCAGTAAAACTTGGGATTAAGTTTGTATTATTGACCTTTTACTCATAATTTGACAAAGCATGCTCATTTCAAGGCCCAGTAGAATCACTTGAACACTACAGTCTGATAAATCTTCTGGGAAACATCATGGGATGTGGCTGAAAATCATCTGTTAATGTTAATTTCACATCCAAGCCTCACCTTTATGTAACTTTGTCCTTTATGTCAATATATTTAGCCTCTGAGTGTGACTTTAAGAGTGATTCTTGTGGCTGGTACGAGCTTACCCTCGGCGATGGCTTTGACTGGGTCAGGGGCTCATCGATGGAGGTACCTCCAGACTACTATGGTCGCCCACCACCACTGGACCACTCCACGAACAGCACTGAAGGTAAGGGAAATAAACACACCACAAACCTGCTGTAGCAATGCCACCATGTGAGACATGAAGCCAGTGAGAATGAGAAGGGAAATGCGGTAAGCCGATAACGTGATTTCACTGGATTCTAGCCAGAAAAAAAGATAATATTATCCACTGATTAAATTGAAGTTTTGTGGAAGAAAATTCCCGCACTGTCTTTTGTGAGATAAGCACTTCATGGAGAAACGCTTTCTCAGCCGTCTGAATAATAGAAAGGAAATCGACATATGCTTGTACCCATTATGCATATTAACATTATTTACAGAAATAAACAAGACTCTGCAGAGGTCTATTCGAAGTTTGTGTGGCACAACATGCAACTGTATTTTTATGCCTCGTCGCATCTTCTTCCCTGAGGAGAATTAAGTCTATAGGGATGGATTTTAAAAGCAGTCTTCTTGAAGTCGGACTCCACGCAGGCACCATCTGTTGTTGTTCTCACGTAGGCTGTGTGAAGATGCTGTGAAAAAACTGCTCTGTAAGGTGGCTGTGCAGACTCTAAACTGAAGCTTTGTGAAATAATGACACACATCCTGGTGGGAGCATCTGTTTGAGGATGTAGATGACTGTGACCGCTCAAAGACTTATCTCGGGTGTGACAATGCGCAGGTATGTGGTGTGTTCAAAGAGTGATTATTTGGCAGTGGGACACCTTATATGAGCCAAGAAAACATTTCAACTTCATCACACCACCGCCTCAAACTGTACAGCATTAGACAGCATGGTTTCACCAGCCTATTCAAGCTGTTTGTGCCTTTCTAGACTTTTTAAACATGAGAACCACCAACGCTTTGCTCTGCAAAGATAAACACTGCATCTCTTATTCCAGTCTTCTATACTCTAAATATTTGTAATGTATTAGTAAGAAAGGAATCTGATTTATATTAGACTATGCAAAAGATGGACACCATTACATCAGCTATTAGCTATGAAAGTCCTGTTTATCAAGTCTCAAAGTGAGTCTTTTGGCCTTTATGTTGATGTTTTTCATGGTTTTATTGGTTTCTTCCATATTTTGAAACCTAGTGCCCTCACATTTTGCTGTTTCTCATGGGAAATCACCATAATTTGCATTACTTCAAACTTTAATATGAATAACTAATTCATGCATCCATCCATACATACAATTTCAGCCCATCTGTATCCACAACCTGGCAAGCCATACCTAATAATCCAGTTAAAGGTGTGTGTTTGAAACCAATGCTATGAAGTGCTTTTTTCATGTTTTAATTTACTTAGAGAAGCATGGTAAATAACTTTTCTGTTATAATTTGTCATTAAAAATTGGAAACTTTTAGCTGCTCCCTCATTTCCCAGTGGATCACCACAGCAGATGGATCCATGTGTTTGATTTGGCACAGATTTTACACCAGAAGTCTTTCCTGACACAACACTCCCATTAATCAGACCAGGCATCACAGAAGCATGTGATCTCTTCTCTTAAATAGGTAAAGAAAGATTTGTTGAGGGAATTTTACAGAAGTTTGTAGAAATGTTTAATCGATTTCATGAAGGAAAAACTATCCTTTTGTAAGATACTAACCCCAAGTTGAACGAGTGAGTGTGAGTGTGAGAGTAGAAAGAATTTGCTTGTATGAATTGAATAGTTGTGAATGTTTGAATGAGGTAAGTTGTATAAAGTGCTTTGAGTGCTCAGATAGAGTAGAAAGCTCTATATAAGAACCATTCCATTTACCAAACTAATCATCACAACACTTCGCAAAATGACGAGGACATTATCTGTTCAAATACTCAAAGGTCAGCTTCACTGTTCTGCAGCAGTTATTTTTAATCACCAAGGAGAGACTGTGACCATATTTCACAGTTGGTCTGGTCCAGAGTAAGTGACACTAATCTTATTAAATATCTTCAAGCTCTTAATTACAGCAAAGATTGTTTTAAGTTGTTGGCTGAAGCATATAAAACAGCACTGCTGTATTATTATAGCCACTATGTGGTTTTTTTTGTTGCATCTCTGGTAAGAAAGAAAAGATAGAACCTGAACTAGAATCAAGTTAAAGAACTTTTCTATTCTGTGCCTACTTGCAGTTATCTTCCAGCTGAAAACTTCTTTTTTCTCAGCTTTGTTTTTTAAGCTGTATTATTATTATTATTATTATTGTGCTGTTTGCAGAACGGCATGATTTTATGATTTGTGTGAACGCTGCTGCACTGACCGTTTCTATATTTGGCTCCTGGCTGTTGGCCAGCAAGCCAACCTGTGTGATCCACAACATCTTGCTCTGTGCTGAAATTTAAAAGAAGAAGATATATAATCTCTTTTACACTAGACATTGTATTTCACAGACATCCCAAAGGAAACACAGATAAAATAGACCCGTAAGGGAGCAAAAACAACAACAACAACGTGGGAAGATGTTTAACTAAAAGAACTTCCATAAGAGTTTCTGGTCAGTGACTCACTGACTGTCTGGTGAAGCAAGTTGTTTACAGAACTTTTAAAAAAGTAGATGCTGAATAGTAATTGTCATTTCTCATTGCAGGTCACTTCATGTTTATATTCAAGAACAGCAGCAGTCTGTTTCCAAACGCTGCTCTCCGAGGACCGCGGTTCCAGCAATCGGCTGCTGCCTGCACCATGACCTTCTGGTTAGAGTCACACTACTTTAAAGCCAGCACATCACAACCAGTCTTCATTTCTTTGTCAAGCCCACAAAGTAGTTTGACAAGATTCATTGCTATGAAAACACGCTTTTCCACTTGCTGTCTCTCTGCTTTCTACTACTTGTTTGATCTCGTTCTTACCTCCACTCATCATTTTACCTGTCTCAGTTTTGCACTCTAAGCATATCTCATCTTTCACAATCACACACAATAAGAAGTATCTGAATCTGTCCTGTTCTGACAGTTTTATGGCCCCTGAAGGTATATGTCTAATAACAGATTATAGTTTTCCCCTGAGTGATTGGAGAAGTTCTCCAGGCAGAAAGCAGGAGCTTTATAAATGGTCTTTTTTTTTTACTTCAGTGTCCTCAGGTATTATGTCCATTGAGTATTTTCACTACAGTATGTGGATGAAGGCAAAGGTTTCAGGTATAGCACGAGGGAATGTATCCATTCAAAATTAACATTTTGTCTTCCATCACTGTCTTATTCCCCTCAGGCATTATAATTCAGGCATTTCTGTGGGAGCTGCTGACATGTCACTTCGAATCGAAGGAGTTGAAAACCGCACTGTCATATGGAGAACATTGTATGACCAAGGACCCCACTGGAACCAGGTCACCGTACAGCTGGGACGCATCACCCAGCCTTTCCACATCTCCCTGGCTAAAATCAGCCTCGGCGTGTTCGATGGAGTCGCCGCTCTAGACGATATCGCTTTCAAGAACTGCTCTCTGCCTCCGGCGGTGGATGAGTGCCCACCCCACACACATTTCCACTGCGTGCACACCAAGGCATGTGTGGAGCATCTGCAGCTCTGTGACCTTGTGGACGACTGTGGGGATGGATCAGATGAGGCAGGATGTTGTGAGTGTCTTTGATGTTTGTTCTGGATCAAAAGTAAAAGTACTCGTCATAGTGTTGCATCAGTGTCTACAGGGCATTCCCCTGTCTTAGCTTGTTGAGATGAAGCTACTTCATTTAATTTCACTTGCAACAGACTTGGTTTATAAATGCAGAAATAATAAACAAGTTTAATCTGAGGCATTCAGCTCATAAAAATATCTGTTTCTCCTTCCAAGAGGACTATATTCTTTGGTGGAGGAATTGTTCAGATATTTTACATAAAGCTGCTCATCTCTAATTTCACACATTAAAATCTGTTTGCAGGTCCTGGGTAGCGTTACTGCAGATATGAAAAAAGTTTTTAAAAGTTGCATAAAGCATTTTAAAGCTCCTTACTTCTGCTTAACGCTACATTAGCTGCTGCTGCTGTGTTAAAGCAGTAGATCTGAAATGGCACTGTCTGTGGCGAAGTTAAATTATGGGTAAAACGTAGTCATGCATTCTCAAGTTCTGCTTGTAGACTGTATATGAAAATATTTATTATTTTCATGTGTGGCCAGTAGACTCTGCTGCACTGATTCTGGCACTTTTTTGTGTGTTTATCAATGTTTATCAATGTCAGTCTGGAAAATTCAAGTTTTCTTAACGGTAGATAAATACAATTAAATGGACAAAGACAAGATGTTGATTGCGTTTTATTGCTTTATATTGTTGTAGTTTTGTCTGTAGTGAATTTCTCTCTGTCATGTGTCACAGCTCCAGAGCTGCAGTGTGACTTTGAACATGGGCTGTGTAACTGGAAACAGGAACAGACTGGAGAAGATGTTTTTGACTGGACCATCTACCAAGGCCCGACTCCATCCTTTAACACAGGCCCTTTGAAGGACCACACATTGGGCACCGTCTATGGCCACTACCTCTACATTGAGGCGTCTGCCCCTCGGGAGTTCAAAGACACGGCGGTGTTGCTCAGTCCAGTCTTCAAACCCACCCACCACGATGGCAAGTCGTACAACCACTGTGCTTTCCGCTTCTATTACCACATGTTTGGAAAATATGTGTTCTACCTGGCGGTGTACTTGAGGACCACTGCTACAGGCCGTGGCCAGATGCTGTGGGTGAAATATGGAAATCAAGGAGACTTCTGGCACAGGGAGACTCTTTACCTCAGCAGTGCTCAGCCTTTCCAGGTTAGCTAATGGTAGCATTCACATAGACATCATTATAAAGCAGTGTGGCATTTTCAGTGAGGTATTTACACGTTTATTTCACGTTTGTGGGATTTTTCTTGGATGTTTTAACCTTTAAGCATCATTTTAAGAGCATAATTGGTAAAACATGTGATGTGTTCAATTTAATCTGTGACTATTGTTTTAAAAAACCGACTTTCAGACAGTACACTCAATACATGGCAAAATGAAAATACGGAAATAAGAAGAAAATATCTCAAAGTTCTGCTTACACAGTGGTTAAGATATAACTCTTAGGTAAACCCTGTGATGTTACAGTCTTGGCATCCCACTGTGAGTCATTTGCTTTTGGCTCCCTTGTGTAATCAAAGTAGATATGCACACATAAGCTCTAGGTAAAAACAGTTCCCTTTGCAGACAACGCCGAGACATTAGTGAAGCAAAGCGTCTGCATGGAGTGCACTCCACCATTGCGTGATGAAGATCCATTTAATAGCTTCACTGCTTAACATCGATCCCTCAAGATGGATGTTCTGTTGTCATTACTCATGAGTGAGTATAACTTGACAGGCAGTTAAAGACTTTTGCTCTGCTATGGCAATGAAAACAGCAACTCTGTGTGTCAAGTCAATTGACTGCAGAAAGGGTAAAAGTGGGAGAAAAACAGACACTGATGAATTAAATTCAAATTCAGAGTGATCCATTTGCTCCCAGTGCAGGCAAAGTGCCATGAAATGACAAACTCTAAAAACCGGGCATCTGAATAGTCAGTTGTGTCAAATTCATCCTTTTACATTTCCATTAAGACTGAATGTGGTCAATGTAAGAACAAAAAGACATACATCATTGCATTTCCTGCTTAAATCATCCAAATGTGATAATATGAAAACTTAAACTATTAAGGTGCCTTATTCTGCACGTATGTAGGATCTTATAGAGGCAAAATTATCTGTAAAAACATTTCTGTACTTTTCACGTTCAAGCTGTTTTCTTTTTAAAACCTGATAAGAATCTTTGTATTCGAGTATTTCTAAATGATACTTCCCTTTTTTTGCAGTCACAAGCATGCAAGTGACTGCTGAAACAACATCTCTGAGAAAATTGTTTAAAAAAGGGGAAACACACATATAACCTGGATAACTGAATGCTTTCTATAAGAAAAATTCAAGTCAATAATTAAATGAAGAAATATGCGTCTAATTTATTGGCATTTCGGCAGTTTTAGATAAAGGAGGCTTTTGCCAAGTATTGATAATTGTTAATTTGCATTATTGAGCCACTAATATATCGAATCAAGTTGTCCGTTGTAGGTACCAAGGTGCTGCGCATTGCAACAAAAACCTCTATGTAAACTTGTTTTGGTTGCTAGCAGATTGCTGCTGCCACTCAAAAACTTGAGAATTAGTGCCTTACTGTTAAGCAACAGTAAGGCACTAATCAAGAGCTTAGAAAGAAAAGCCTCCAGACTTCTTTAAGTTTCTCGCAAGGTGGTTTCTGGTGCACCACCATGTACCTATTTGTGACCAGTTTCACCTTGTCAACTAGTCCCTAGGCCTCTGTGCCTGAGGCCTTGCAGAACAAACACACAAAGCTAATGTTAGCAAATTTTAGCATGTTGCTCAGACTGAAGGTGATATGATTAAACATTTTTAAAAAAGGGTTTTTTTCAGTGTTTCCTCCGTAAAACTTGTGTGTAATCTGTCTGTGTGCAATATTTTCTGCGGTGGCCCTGAAAGGCCAAACAAACTGCAACTTAAGAAAACACCAGCAATAAGAAAAATGCTGCAAAAGCACACAAAACACAATGGAAATAGGAAAAACGACAACGGAAATAGGAAAAATTCAAAACAGAAATAGGAAAAACGAAAACCGAAATAGGAAAAAACACAAGGGAAGTGTTTCTGGGGAGACAATAACCCGACGGACCAGTTGCAGGAAC